GCGCAACGCAAAGCGTATCAAGGAATAATGTGGTTGGGGAGGGGGGAGAGGGCACAACCATTTTTATTTCAACTGTCCTATATTTTCTTAGTTAAATGGGGAAAAAAAAATGTTGCTTTAAAAAAAGAATTTTATGTATCGAGGCTGATACATGAACCGTTGATTAGTGATTTAATGTTTAGTGTTGAGTTTTATTATTTTTATATGGAGCTCTACCAATGACGATCTTATGTTACAAATAAATTTACTCTTCTTGTCCTGCGATCTTTATGACGTTCTGTGCCTCTAAAGCTTAGTCTAACTAAACCAAGGGTCGGCAAACTATGGCCCGTGGGCCGGATCCGACCCGTGACTTCGATTTATCTGGTCCGCCAGGAGCTTATTAAGTCGTATTAATAATTTTATTATAATATATATATTATATATATATATATATATATATATATATATATATATATATATATATATATATATATATATATATGCCGGTATAATTGTATATTTTTTTTATTTCAAAATTTATTATTAACATTAATTAACACCTAGGTGAAAACAGTATTTATGTCCTCAACCACTCGATAGGATCACGATTTTCAACTTCTTGTTGTAATTCTCCTATGGAAAATTGTTAAAGTTAGATTACATAACATGTAATTTTCAACGCAAATAAATTTTAAAATTATGTTATTTGAAGTTTAAGTTCATTAATCAGTGTTAACGAGGGGGTGGGGTTGTTGCTCCACTCAATTCACATGCTGTAAAAATCTCGCGCAAGAAGCTACAGGCCCATTCCCACGCGATTTGGTTCAAGGAGTGCATTCTGACTTAGGACAACAGTTGTACAAGGAGTGCATCCTGACTTGAGACAGCTGTTTGAGCATCCTTTTACCTATCTCGATGCCATTGGAGAAAAACAATCACTTAAGCCCTTTTGAAGTGTTGTTGATGAGTGCCACTTTGAGCAGGTGAACTTCAAATTCAATTGTTGTTGATGAGTGCCACTTTGACCAGTGAACTTCAACTTGAAGTGTTGTTGGCGAGGACCACTTTGACCAGGTGAATTTCAACTTGCAGTGTTGTTGGTGAGTACCACTTTGACCAGGTGAACTTCAAATTGAAGTGTTGCTAGTAAGTACCACTTTGACCAGGTGAACTTCAACTTGAAGTGTTGCTGATGAGTACCACTTTGACCAGTGAACTTCAACTTAAAGTGTTGTTGATGAGTGCCACTTTGAGCAGGTGAACTTCAAATCGAAGTGTTGTTGGTGAGGACCACTTTGACCAGGTGAACTTCAACTTGCAGTGTTGTTGGTGAGTACCACTTTGACCAGGTGAACTTCAAATTGAAGTGTTGTTGGTGAGTACCACTTTGACCAGGTGAACTTCAAATTGAAGTGTTGCTAGTGAGTACCACTTTGACCAGGTGAACTTTAAATTGGAGTGTTGCTAGTGAGTACCACTTTGACCAGGTGAACTTCAAATTGAAGTGTTGCTAGTGAGTACCACTTTGACCAGGTGAACTTCAAATCGAAGTGTTGTTGGTGAGTACCACTTTGACCAGATGAACTTCAAACTGAAGTGTTGTTGGTAAGTACCACTGTTACCAGGTGAACTTCAACTTGAAGTGTTCGATCTGCAATCCAAATATTTGCTGAAAGACATATACAAAGAAGGAAAAGTAATATACCTCTATACATGGCTGTCAAGATGTCATCTGCTCATTTAAATGACTTTGCACATGAACCATTTTAGTCTTGGCACTACCTACTTGTTTGAGAAGACATTTTTTTAATATCTAGCTCTAGAGCAGCTTGTTGATGAGCACTTGTAAACACTTTTGATGACGATAGTAGCTTTGACCCTCAGCTAAATATCATTGTGTCAGAAAAGCACTAGTTTCAAGTTGATCACTAATATGAAAAAACTCAATTTGCACTGCAGCTTACAAAATTAACACATTTCGCCAGATAAAGACCTAAGCTTTATTCACTCATAAATTTTATCCGTGCAACACTACTAGAGGAAGTTTTTTTTTAACTTTGCAAAATGATCATAAAAAAAGCATGTCGTCCCCCCCCCCCCCCCATTTTTTTTTACATTTCCAAAAAATCAAAAAAAAAACAAGTCGCCCCCCCCCCCCCCCCCTTTTTTTTTCCTTCTGTTTGGACTACCTATATCAAGTAAACATTTTGGAGATACTCTCATCAAACACATAGTCCAATTTGAATTTGTCTAAAAACAAATCCGACTCTCATAGGCAAACGAGATCTTCTTATCGGCCCTCGTGAAAAAAACGTTTTCTGACCCGTGCTCTACCAGGAACTTTCAATATTGGACCTTTGAAAAAGTTACAACTCTGAGGAAACTATTTTCAAAAATACAATTAACTTAAGTTATGTCAAGAAAAAACAACAACTAAGCAATACTATTACTATTACTATATAACTGTAACACGCTGAATCTCTTATCATTTTAGATTAAATTCAAAGCTGGTCTTAGCAACTGTAGCGCCTCAGATACAAATTTTAGCGTTCTTTCCTCATACACATTTTAAGGTTAATATTAACAGCGGATAATTTTTTTAATGTGCTGAAGACTGAATAAAAGAGTCCTGAAGTGACCATCTTATTCAGCAGATTGTACACAAACTTATTCAGCTAACTACTTAAAAAAAAACCCAGTCAACTATTTTTTTAAAAACAATTATAATTGCTTTTTATTGAAACTCTAACAACACAACATTTTTAGACTGTCAACATGCAATAACTATACAGTTTTTTTAATGTTAAAAAGTATAATTGGCCCAATAACTAGTATACTATTAGTTCTGTTCTACAAACAAACGTTTCTGGCTTTGGCAGTAGAAAAATCAATTGTATCATCTTAATTTCCTTTTTTACTGTTAACATCATTTTCAGTAGACATCATATCCAACAATGCCAGTCTGTCCTGAGCTAGGTATGCCACATCATTTTCAGCAGACATCATATCCAACAATGCCAGTCTGTCCTGAGCTAGGTATGCCACATCATTTTCAGCAGACATCATATCCAACAATGCCAGTCTGTCCTGAGCTAGGTATGCCACACCATTTTCAGTAGACATCATATCCAACAATGCCAGTCTGTCCTGAACTAGGTATGCCACATCATTTTCAGCAGACATCAAATCCAACAATGCCAGTCTGTCCTGAGCTAGGTATGCTACATCATTTTCAGCAGACATCATATCCAACAATGCCAGTCTGTCCTGAGCTAGGTATGCCACATCATTTTCAGCAGACATCATATCCAACAATGCCAGTCTGTGGACTCGATCCATACGGTGTAGTAAAAGTCCAGACATCATATCCAACAATGCCAGTCTGTCCTGAGCTAGGTATGCCACATCATTTTCAGCAGACATCATATCCAACAATGCCAGTCTGTCCTGAGCTAGGTATGCCACATCATTTTCAGTAGACATCGTATCCAACAATGCGAGTCTGTCCTGAACTAGGTATGCCACATCATTTTCAGTAGACATCATATCCAACAATGCCAGTCTGTCCTGAACTAGGTATGCCACATCATTTTCAGCAGACATCATATCCAACAATACCAGTCTGTCCTGAGCTAGATATGCCACATCATTTTCAGCAGACATCATATCCAACAATGCCAGTCTGTCCTGAGCTAGGTATGCCACATCATTTTCAGCAGACATCATATCCAACAATGCCAGCCTGTCCTGAGCTAGGTATGCTACATCATTTTCAGCAGACATCATATCCAACAATGCCAGTCTGTCCTGAGCTAGGTATGCCACATCATTTTCAGCAGACATCATATCCAACAATGCCAGTCTTTCCTGAGCTAGGTATGCCACATCATTTTTAGCAGACATCATATCCAACAATGCCAGTCTGTCCTGAGCTAGGTATGCCACATCATTTTCAGCAGACATCATATCCAACAATGCCAGTCTGTCCTGAGCTAGGTATGCCACATCATTTTCAGCAGACATCATATCCAACAATGCCAGTCTGTCCTGAGCTAGGTATGCCACATCATTTTCAGCAGACATCATATCCAACAATGCCAGTCTGTCCTGAGCTAGGTATGCCACATCATTTTCAGCAGACATCATATCCAACAATGCCAGTCTGTCCTGAGCTAGGTATGCCACATCATTTTCAGCAGACATCATATCCAACAATGCCAGTCTGTCCTGAGCCAGGTATGCCACATCATTTTCAGTAGACATCGTATCCAACTATGCGAGTCTGTCCTGAGTTAAATATGCTCTTAAAATATGTTTTAATAATTTTATTGATAACAATTCTTTCTCAAGCTGCAACGCTGACTCAATGGTCAGAAAAAGTCGAAAATTAATGACCATATTTGGACAAACATCCAGCAGAGTCGTGAATTTTGAAGCATCGCTTGACCAGTGGCGTAGGAACTGGATGCGGAAGGAAAGGGAGGGGGGTGTTTCCCATCGGATTGACCCTTTTTTTCATATTAAGGATGGCATTTTAGGATAATTGCAGAGTTGTTTGTGTGTGTGTGTGTGTGTGCAATAATGGGTGGCATAACTTGGCCCGGCCCGGGTTGCACAAACCTTAAAATTCTTTTTCATGACAATGTTTTTTCATTGAAACAAATCATAAAAAACTATTCAATTGTCGTGCTATCCATAAACAAGTCAAATCTCCGAAGAGTCATACCCTTCAATTATTAGTTAAAATGTATTTTCCGCGAATGGAGTATTTAAATTCATGTTTTGGATCAAAATGACACCCCGAGACGAGACTGAAGAGCTCCAGGCAGTCGCCTGTTTTGCCTGTACCCAAGACCGGCCCTGATTACATACACTATTTTAAAAATCATAGGCTTAGATAACAAAAATCATGGGCTTAGATTACAAAAATCATGGGCTTAGATAAAAAAATGATAGGAACCAAAATTGTTATTAAATTTTCAATTTTTTTATTCACCAAAGATTCTAAATGATATTTATCTCCCTTGGTCAGTTATCAGCGTTGTAAAGAATTTAGTTCTGCTCCTACAAATGGGTTGAATCGAATGTACACGTTTAAGCCTCAGTTTCGACTTCAGTGGTGACACTTTGGATGCAAGTGAGTCCTCCCAACTGACGAAAGACATAATAATTAAACAAGTTAATCAAACATTAAAAGTCGGCGAGGTCTCCAGTGACTAACTAACGCAGATATTCTGTTAAAGGTCTGAAATGACCCTGGCTAGTACACTGGCTACCAGCTCCATCTGTTGAGCTGAGCAATCTAACATTCTCCTCACTTGGGGCTCTCCCGCCGCCCTGGCCTCCCCCGGGACATCGAGTGACGGACATTCGGTCAACAGATGCGCTGGTGTTTCTGAGACCTGGCTGCAATGCCAGCAGGTAAGGTCCCTGTTATTATTTAGCCTAGGCTGGACAACATACGGCCCGCATGCGGCCCTCCAGCACCCACTTTGCGGCCCCCGAAGTAACCAATTATTCTTTTATTATTATTATTTTCTTAATAGCTCACCCCGTCCCTGTCATATTTTCTTTCGGCCCACACAAGTTTTTGCATAAGTTATTACGGCCCGACTTACATTTTGAGTTGTGCAGGTCTGATCTAGCCTGTTGAAATATGTGCCGATGGGACAGTGCTCAGTGCGCATCTGTGTCACTAGACTCTGCTGCCTGCGACCTAACCCCCACAATGAGTCTTGTCTGCTAGCAGCCCCGGTTTTCGCCAGAGTGTCTGTTTTTTTCATTTCCACTGACGTTGACGTGCCTTGGAATCCACCGCTCTAGTAACTCAATTTGTTAGAGTAATGGCCAGGGTGATATACGCTGCGTCCCCAACGGATGACACGTGAAGTCTTGAACATGCACAGAAACGTTTTGACATAAATGGGTCTCTGTCCGTGGCATCATGTCAGGCAGATCAGTAGGCGACACAATCTTTAGTTTCATATTGCATTATTAAAGTCACAGGTAAGACTTTTCGCAGATGACACAGCAGTGTATAGGACGATCGCCAACAGATCTGACCAGGACCAGCTACAGCAGGATCTCAATCTGTTAGCTGAGTGGGAGATGAGCTGGGACATGGAATTTCACCCTGCCAAGTGCCAGACACTATCAGTGATCAGTCTCTAGAAGTTGTACGCCTCTACACTACCAATATGAACTGCACGGCCATATTCTTGAGCAAGTTTCCTCCGTAAAGTACCTGGGTGTTACCATTCAAAGAGAGGTCCGCTGGGACGAGCATATTATTAATGTATGTAACCAAGCAAACAAGACCCTTGAGTTCTTAAGGCGAAATCTAAAGATTGGCAACTCCTGTGTGAAAGAAAAAGCATATAAATCCTTTATCCGTCCGATTTTAGATTATGCATCTTCAGTCTGGGACCCATTTACCCAGAAGATCATTGACATGTTGGAGGCGGTCCAGCGACGAGCAGCATGCTTTGTCCTAAACCGCTACAGGAATACCTCTAGTGTTGGCAGCATGCTGGAAACACTAGGCTGGTCACCACTGGAGAAACGACGACGACAATTCAGGCTCTCCATGATGCACAAGATAAATAATGGGCTGGTCCACTGTTCCAGTATTAAACAGAAACTCGTCCCTCTCCCCCATAGACAACGACGAGGCCATGACAGGCCATTCAGGCTCATACCAGCAAGAAGCCAGTATATGAGCTGCTCATTCCTGTCCAAGACAATCAGGGACTGGAACAATCTTTCAAAAGGAACGGTTGAGGCGACAACACTAGACACATTTGTGTCTATTGCCTCAAGCCTTCAAACCCCTAGTGCATGATTCCCTCACAAAGTGGGACTGGAAATCAGTGAAATTTCCTCAACACCGGAACAGAAACATTGCAAATCCCATCTACATGCATAGGAGCCAAAATGATCAATAAATTGATCGTGGGCCCTTAAGATATAGAAGAAGAAGAAGTCACACTCTGATGTGAATAAGACCAAAAAAAACAAACAAAACAACCAAACATGAGTTACATACGGTTAAAAAATCCTGAAATATTTTGATAATAATTTTACATTATAATATTATAGATACTGTGTTCAAGTCGTGTGATAGAAATATTAGGAACAAGATATGTTGCCGCTGTCACTGGCGAAGGAAGGGTGGGGCGAAGGAAGGTTGTGGCGATGGAAGGGTGGGGCGATGGAAGGGTGGGGCGAAGGAAGGGTGGGGCGAAGGAAGGGTGGGGCGAAGGAAGGGTGGGGCGAAGGAAGGGTGGGGCGAAGGAAGGGTGGGGCGAAGGAAGGGTGGGGTGAAGGAAGGGTGGGGCGAAGGAAGGGTGGGGCGATGGAAGGGTGGGGTGAAGGAAGGGTGGGGCGAAGGAAGGGTGGGACGAAGGAAGGGTGGGGCGAAGGAAGGGTGAGGCTTAGGGGGGCTTTCCGTCCCGGGCGGCACTTTTTTTATGCATATGAGGTGGCATTTTTCGCTGGGGATGGCGGCAAAATCTTGGCTCCCTTCAGACGGTTTTAAAGCAAACTACGGCACTGTTGTAGCTTGCATAATTGAACATAACAATACGAGCGTTTTGTCTAAATGACTTCTTCCCCTACACAAAAAGCGAAGTGGGACCATTCAAATTAATGCCTTACATCAGTGGTTCTCAACCTTTCTAGTGCCCCGACCCTTTAATACAGTTTGTCGTGTCGTGGCGACCCCCAGCCACACAATTATTTTCGTTGCTACTTCATAGAACTAATGATATGTGTTTTCAGATGGTCTTAGGCGACCCCTGGAAAAGGGTCCCGTGACCCCCAAAGGGGTCGTGACCCACAGGTTGAGAACCACTGCCTTAAATCCAGTGGAGTAGTTCTAGTTGGAATTTGCGACAACAGGGACGCTCCTTAGTTTGGTCGCCACTAATTAACGAAAAGCACAAAGCAAACAGAATCATTTTTTAAAATACTAATGGTGCCCGGGTGCGAATGGCGGCGCTGAGTGTCTGGGTCCATTTTGACTCAGTGCTATTCGGATGTCATTTGTGGTAGTTTAATTTTAATTAAACTGAAGAATTAAGTTTACAAACATATAGTCCATTCAATTATCTTTCATTTGATACCTCATTTTGTCTGACAAACCCAACAATAATATTTTTAATATTTTTTTTTTATCACAACCTCTCACTTCTGGTACCCGGGTGCGAATAACCACTTCGTTTTTAAAACGTCACTATTTTTCTCAAATACCCCGGTGAATTTGACCAGTCATCCCTCTTCATGGAAACCTAAATCTAGAAGCAGGGTTTCTTTCAGACAACTTGGATTGTTTGAAAAAAAAATTGTAAAGCATATCTGTGTACCGAGTGTGTGTTCTTAAATCAAACAGGAATAAACACATGATCAAAGGCGTCCAGAGCGCGCGCTATAGAATTAAACACATGATATAGAATTAAAAACATGATATAGAATTAAACACATGATATAGAGAATTAAACACATGATATAAAATTAAATACATGAGATAGAATTAAACTCATGATATAGAATGAAACACATGATATAGAATTTAACAGAATGATATGGAAAGAAACACAAGTTATATAATTAAACACAAAATACAGAATTAGGCACAAGATGTAGACTTAAACACGATATATAGAATTCTTCTTCTTCTTCTATATCTTAAAGGCCCACGATCAATTTATTGATCATTTTGGCTCCTATGCATGTAGATGGGATTTGCAATGTTTCTGTTACTGGTGTTGATGAGGAAATCATGCACTAGGGGTTTGAAGGCTTGAGGCAATAGACACACGATGTTGAATTAAACACAAGATTGTTTTCATGTCATTCCTTGAATGTGCCGATGTGTTCATCCTACCTTTCGTTGACTTGGCCAACACACAACAACCACCTGTTCTACACAAGTAATCAGAGGCACGGAATTCAGTGGCTCCATCGAGGTATCTGGAAAAAGAAATGAGTGTAAATAGTTCACATCGGTGTAAAGTTGAAGACATCTGTGTAGAGTAGCACATATCTTTGTAAAGTAGCACATATCTGTGTAATGCAGCACACATATATGTAGAGTAGCACATATCTTGTGTTTACAGTCTTACATATACCATCCCCACTTTTCACTGTCTCCTGTATACCATCTCCACTTTTCACTGTCTTCCGTAAACCATCTCCACTTTTCACTGTCTCCCGTATACCATCCCCACTTTTCACTGTTTTCCGTATACCATCTCCACTTTTCACTGTCTCCTGTATACCATCTCCACTTTTCACTGTTTTCCGTATACCATCCCCACTTTTCACTGTCTTCCGTATACCATCTCCACTTTTCACTGTTTTCCGTATACCATCCCCACTTTTCACTGTTTTCCGTATACCATCCCCACTTTTCACTGTCTCCCGTATACCATCTCCACTTTTCACAGTTTTCCGTATACCATCTCCACTTTTCACTGTCTCCCGTATACCATCTCCACTTTTCACTGTCTTCCGTATACCATCTCCACTTTTCACTGTTTTCCGTATACCATCTCCACTTTTCACTGTCTTCCGTATACCATCCCCACTTTTCACTGTTTTCTGTATACCATCTCCACTGTTCACTGTCTTCCGTATACCATCTCCACTTTTCACTGTTTTCCGTATACCATCTCCACTTTTCACTGTCTTTCGTATACCATCTCCACTTTTCACTGTTTTCCGTATACCATCTCCACTTTCCCCGAACAGTGTTAAACAATACTATGGCTTAACCGGATGCAGTTTTGACACCGGTTCGGGGTATTTTGAGAAAATATCTGGTCCGAATGTTACAAAAAGATGAGTTAACTTCTCATTTTCTGTAAACAAGAGTCTTACGAAGACAGTCATACACCCTGCCTGCCGGACTTCAAATAATAAGCCTACAGAAATGTGTATATCATACCCGTGTCTCTTTATTGGTTAAATGGTATAGTCGCCTCAACCTGAAGAAAGAAATTCAATCTTCTCACCTGAGTTCAACCGTCACGCTGCGTGATAGCTTTTTTTTGTCACTTAGTAATATTAATATTTAAAAAAATGTTGAATAGGAGGAGGGTCGGTTGTGAAAAGGGAGCAGGACACACCAGAAGAAAAATATATATAAGAGATGTAGTTATAAATTTATCCGCTTCTAAAGAACCAACGTTAACCCTCCATACTAAAATACGTTTTTAAATTCTAGAAAAATCCATTTTTTTCGTGGGGAAAGATACATCGGTGGACCCATTAGAAAGAAAATTGATATTGTAATACAGTGACATATTGTAATACAGTGAGATATGAAATTCAGTGACATATTGTAATACAGTCACATATTGTAATACAGTCATATTGTAATGCAGTCACATATTGTAATACAGAAACATTTTGTAATCCAGTCACATATTGTAATACAGTCACATATTGTAATACAGTCACATATTGTAATACAGTCACATATTGTAATACAGAAACATTTTGTAATCCAGTCACATATTGTAATACAGTCACATATTGTAATACAGTCGCATATTGTAATACAGTCACATATTGTGATACAGTCACATATTGTAATACAGTCACATAATGTAATTCAGTCACATATTGTAATACAGTCACATATTGTAATACAGTCACATATTGTGATACAGTCACACATCACCTACGTCAGACGGTAGTTGTTGGGTATCTTGGCGTGCTTGATCCTGCACGAGGCTCTGTTGATGTTGTGGCAGTGCTCGACACGAACACACTTGCAGGGCTTCTCATCGAGGTGGATTGGGCTCTGGGGCTTTTTACACACCAGGACTTGCCCCAGTGTCGCCTCTGTGCCATCTCTGACGAATGAAGAGCAACATATACAGATTTACAAGGAACAGTAAGTCGTCTGAGGTTCATGATCAGGCATTAGAGAGAGTTGATTGGTCCTTTTACGCTGCACTAAAGTAACGTCATGACTCACGACAATGGGCGTAGGAATTGAGGGAGGCATTCTTTTTTTTTTCTTAGATTAAGCTGCACTTTCGGCTTACTGCAGGGTTGTTGTTTTTTTTTCGGAAATTGGTGGCAAAAATCTTGAGCTGCCCCGGGCGTCATGGACTCCAGCTACGCCACTGGTGAGAACTGTACCGCAGGACTCAAGGAACGGTCCAAGATTTTGGAGCGGAGGGTTATAATCTAGTGTTTAAAATAATCAATTTGATTTTTTTTATTAATGAAAATCGCTTGCAACATGTGTCATGTTCTCTCTTTGTTCTTACTTATCATTAGCAAAGAATGTCTCCGTCTTGAGATTTATACATTTAATAGCGCTAAGAAAGCATAAGCGTTNTATATATATATATATATATATAATTTTACTAACGTAACTATGTTCATCGCAAAAAAAAACCCAAAAAAAACAACAAAAAAAACAACAACAACAATGAAATGCATAAATAGACATATGGACCACTTTCCATAGGGCTACTGTCTCTTCTTGAGTGCAGTGCATTGACATTTCAACTCTTTTGAGACACTCAGAGTAAGTTTTCCTCACAGACCCAAATTTAGTATTTGGCTTTTTACACACACACACAAAATGTTGGTTGACCGTTGATCTAACATTCACTATGTAATATTGAGTTGGTGTCTCGTTAGGGTTCCAAATAATATCTTTGAATCAGTAACGTACCTAGGCTTAGTGCAGCCTGGGTTGGTTTAAAAGCTTTGACATCCCCCCCCCCTCCTTTTCCAAAGAAAAAGAAAATCTCTGCCGTGTGCCGAAAATGCCGCCCCTTTATATAAAAGAAATAAGTGTCGGCCTGGTCAAACCGCCCTCTCTGAACCCCACTTCCTACGCCACTGCTTGGAATGAAGAGTCTACATACTGCACATTCAAAAAGTTGTATCTTGGCTATACATCAATAACGAAACATTTAATGGGGAAGTGTTATTTATTTTTAAAAGAATTGTTGTAAGCCAATCGTGTCAAAATTGTCTGCGTGTCATTCTGTACCAGTTACATACACAAATGTTTTCTGTACCAGTTACGTACACAAATGTTTTCTGTACCAGTTACATACACAAATGTTTTCTGTACCAGTTACGTACACAAATGTTTTCTGTACCAGTTACATACACAAATGTTTTCTGTACCAGCTACATACACAAATGTTTTCTGTACCAGTTACATACACAAATTTTTTCTGTACCAGTTACGTACACAAATGTTTTCTGTACCAGTTACATACACAAATGTTTTCTGTACCAGTTGCGTACACAAATGTTTTCTGTACCAGTTACATACACAAATGTTTTCTATATCAGTTCCGTACACAAATGTTTTCTGTACCAGTTACATACACAAATGTTTTCTGTACCTTTTATATACACACATGTTTTCTGAACATTTTGAATACACAAATTTTGTCTGTACCTGTTACATACACAAATGGTTTCTGTACCAGTTACGTACACAAATGTTTTCTGTACCAGTTACATACACAAATGTTTTCTGTACCAGTTACGTACACAAATGTTTTCTGTACCAGTTAAATACACAAATGTTTTCTATACCAGTTACGTACACAAATGTTTTCTGTACCAGTTAAGTACACAAATGTTTTCTGTACCAGTTACATGCACAAATATGTTCTGTACCAGGTACATACACAAATGTTTTCTGTACCAGTTACATACACAAATTTATTCTGTACCAGTTACGTACACAAATGTTTTCTGTACCTTTTATATGCACAAATGTTTTGTGTATCATTTACATACACACATGTTTTCCGTACCAGTTACATACATAAATGTTTTTTTGTATCAGTTACATACACAAATGTTTTTTGTATCAGTTACATACACACATGTTTTCTATACATCATTCATTCCTAAGAGGCGTGGTGCGACAAGGTGTCTCAAAAGGTTGACAATTTATGTCGCAATAGAAACGAAGTCAAACTCAACGTTCAAAAAGGTATTGGGAAGGTATTGGGAATTTCACCAATAGTGTGTAAGAACGATTCGAGATAATACACGAGATCAAAACATGTAAGAACACACTGGACTAAAACATGTAAGAATACAATAGACCAAACATGTTAGAATACACTAGACCAAAACATTTAAGAATACACTAGACCAAAACATGTAAAAGTACACAATACCAAAACATGTAATTATGATGCAATACACTAGACCAAAACATGTCAGAGTACAATAGACGAAAACATGTTAAAATACACTGGACCAAAACGTGTAAGGCTTATAAAGTTTTAGAAGCAGGACACAAAAGTGCAACAGTACAGGCTAGTTACCGAAACACCAAGACCTCGGTGGCAGGTACGCATGTGTATTCCTGTCTAACAATGTTACAACACGCCATTCTGTGGGTAGATTAAATACATTTAGTAGGTAACTCTACTTATAAGCGTACATACGATGAGAATCATACATACCATATACTTCATAGAATCATACATATGATATACTTCATAGAATCATACATACCAAATAGTTCATAAAATTATACATGCGATATACTTCATAGAATCATACATACGATATACTTCATAGAATAATACATGCGATATACTTCATAGAATCATACATAAGATATAATTCATGGAATCATAGATAAGAAATACATCATTTTCGTTTCATCATAAAATTATGAACATTTTGTGGGATTTAACATTTAGAAAAGATGAGATCAAATAAGATTCTAAAAAAAATAATTACACCAGAACTACATCAGAACTATTCAACCTTTTAAGGTGTTTTAATGTATTTCTGAAGCGCAAATATCGGTCATTATATATATCCTTCAACCCCAGTTCCTTATATGGCCATATTGACACTAAGAGTTATTATTTGATTTCATAACAGCCGGGGACACCCGTGTCAGTGCTGAGTTATGAATGAACTTCAAGTACAGTCTTTTATTTGAGGAAAGAATTCGCCCTGAACGAGTTGATCTTAAGAAACCGGTTTTAAAATCGTGTCTCTAAAATCCCAAATAATCGTGCAGCTTAATTAAGGGATTAATAAATAATGTTTTTTTTTTTGGTGTGGACAATTTAAAAAAAAAATAAGAAAGACTCTAAAAAGTCATTTCAATTAGAGGTGCTCTTTAACTCTAACAACAAACCCCCCCCCCCCCCCCCCCCCCCCCCCCCCCCCCCCCCACCCCCCCCCCCTCACTACCGATCTCCCCCACCCTCCCCCCCCACCCCTCCCCCCCCCCACCCCACACACACTTTTTCAAAAGTTCTTTATCTCGGTCTTCATATTAACTTGAATTAATTAAATAAAGTTGAATCATAATTAGAATATCTTTAACTAATTCTATGTTTACAATTAGATACAGTTTTAAAAAAAACTTAGGCCCCAAGACTTTAAAAAAAAAAATTAAACACGAGACCAGATAATCTTGAGGTGGAGATGATGGCTTAGCTTGCCACATCTCGCCTACTATGAAATTACCTTTTGGATTAGTTTGTTTAAAATTTGGGTTGAATACACTGCAACACTTCTCCACCGGGCGACCTTATCTTTTGCGACCTTTCTGTTGCGGTGCGACTTGGTGTTTTCATTGTGCGTGTAGGTACATGCACGTCTGTGTGCGTAAGAGGTGCATTTAAGGGAGTGTGCGTAATGAAACATGTCCCTAAAAATCTTCAACAAACATAAATTAAATACTCCCACGGATCAACTAAAAACTCGTTAGTTTTGGATCATACTGATTGGTCTGTCTTTCGTACATTGCACTGAAAACTCATTAGTTTTGGATCATACTGATTGGTCTGTCTTTCGTACATTGCACTGAAAACTCATTAGTTTTGGATCTTACTGATTGGTCTGTCTTTAATACATTGTGCAGTTTGGGAAATCCACAGCTGTTCCGTGTGTGTCAGCCTTACAAAATACAAATACACGCAACTAACTCACAAACTGAGTAATATTTAAAGGGTTGTTTGTTGTTAGTGGGGTAAAGTTATTAATAAGATAATAGTATACACAAAATTGAATTATCATTGAAATATTATTTAAATTGTTTTTTTTATTTAGTTTGCATGATTTCCTTTAATGGTACCCGTCCGTCCGTCACAATGTGATGATGGTGTAGACTGGCGTCCGTCCGTCACAATGTGATGATGGTGTAGACTGGCGTCCGTCCGTCACAATGTGATGATGGTGTAGACTGGCGTCCGTCCGTCACAATGTGATGATGGTGTAGACTGGCGACCGTCCGTCACAATGTGATGATGGTGTAGACTGGCGTCCGTTCGTCACAATGTGATGATGGTGTAGACTGGCGTCCGTCCGTCACAATGTGATGATGGTGTAGACTTCACAGGACGAAATCACAACGCCTGGGATTTTTTCTTTAGGACTATAAACTGGTTCCCTTGACAGCAAAACGCCTCTCTCCACGCACATGGAGAGCCCATGGGAACATCATATATGGATGATGCAGCTTAGCACCAGTTACTTCCCAGGACTTGTCGGAATTTTGCATTGTATTAATGTGTCCGCCTACGGGACTCCTTCTCCGGAAGTTTTGATTCAGAGTTTTCTTCTCTTAGATGAGTTTCCATCCAAGGTTAACGTGTCCCATCCACGCAGGGTGCTGGTGATGTTTTTGCTAGACTTGGTCTTTGGTGGGCATTGAACCACAAGCTTGAATTGACTCAGTTTAGCCGATTCGAACACCCAGCACTCAAGTGTTAATTAACAGAAAAAAATGTTTAGCTATTGTAACATTAGCGTACGGTTACGGCTACGGGATAAGCATGTTAACTTGTTCCAGTTTGGAAATAAACGCAAAGTGTTCCTGCCATCAAATGATTAGGTGCGTCACAGGTAATTAATGACCAAGATAAAGGTTAGTGTGACCAGGCAACGAACTGTAGGTCACCATCTAGCTGTCTGAGATAAATCAACACACGGGCAGTCGTCCAGCAACGAGATAAGTGATTACCTTCTTGGCAGTTAGACTGTGCTAGAGTCGACCAGAGTGCGTGTTCAGTCTTTGGAACTCTTCTAGTCAAGGAATACTCATTTTGGCTTATTGTTTATAGAAAGTTTTTTAAAAAAAAACAGGAAAAAATATTTATTTGTTATTCTGAAACAGGTGAATATAGTTGTTTTTTTTTGTTTTTTTTAAAACTCATTTGTAAAGCTAATTTTATTAAAGATTTGAATAGGCCTATTTTTAATTACAACACAGGTCATGTTTATTGTTTATAATTTTTTAAAAACGTTCAGATAAAGTATTAGTTGTCATTTTCGGCATCTAGACATTTTTATACCTACACCTTGTCGTTGCGTCTAGAGAACGAAGGATTTCTTACACTTACGTTGGATAAAGTTTTCTGTAAATTATATTACCCATCATCATAGGAACAAATGCCGCCCAGGCCGAAACACCAACAATACGATTTTGGCGCCCGTTGTCTTTGTGACTTATATGGGATTTTATCGTTTAATTCAACATTAAGGTTCTATCTAAGGGATATTTAGATTTTGGCGCCCGCCACTAATTAGATGTACTCGATCTTATGATAAATTAAATGGGACCCATTTACCCAGAAAAGCATCGACAGGTTGGAGGCGGTCCAGCGACGGGCAGCACGCTTTGTCATGAACCGCTACAGAAGCACCTCGAGTGTTGGTAGCATGCTGGAAACACTGGGCTGGTCGACATTGGAAGAACGACGACGACTATCCAGGCTCACCATGTTGTACAAGATAACAAATGGACTGGTGCACTGCTCCGGAATCAAACAGAAACTCGTTAATCTTCCCCCCAGACTGCGACGAAGTCACGACAAACAGTTCCGGCTGGTAAAAACAAGAACAAAGTACAGAAGCTCCTCATTCCTGCCGAAGACAATAGGGGACTGGAACAAGCTTCCAAAAGCAACAGTTGAGGCAGCTACACTAGACACATTTGTGTCTATTGCCTCCTGTATTCCAACCCCCAGTTCATAACACCACTGCTGAGTCGCCCTTGCAACCCGTGAAGTATCCCATTGAAACCCATGGACAGTAACATCGCAAACCCCTCTGAAACATAGGAGCCAGAATGATCAATTCATTGATCGTGGGCCCTTAAAATAAAGAAGAAGAAGAAGAAGAAGAATTAAAAAAAAAAAATTGTTGTCTTAAACTGTACTGGTTTAAGTTGACGACAAACCAGGATCAAAAACAACAACTGGAACTGTCCTGGTCAAAACTTACGAAATGGTCACCTTAACGTTGATACAAGCAGAGGCGTAGTGAGACATCGTGCTGCCCGGGGCAAGGGAAACCTGGAAATAACTGACCTTGAAATAGCACTGCCCCTGACATATGAGCAAATACGCAATGAGCGTAATATTTATTTACCACTAACTTAATCTACAAGTAGAACCACTTTTGCTTAGGTCCCAAGGGTTTGAGTTTTATCCACCATTGAGCCCCCCACCCCAAACAATTTTGATGAATTCTCATTACAAGGATTCATTTTGGCGCATACCTAAATTGAGTTTTGTCCAACTCTAAACTTAATTGATTGCACACAAGAGGAATGCTATGAAAATTAAGTGACCCTTGACCTGGTTTTGTTGATACGAATCTTTATTTTTAATTGTTACTAAATATTAAAGTTGTTTTATACTCTTTATTTAAACAGTCATACAACTATTAAACTCTTTACATTGACAGCTAAGTTTACCTATGTTGAGTGTTCTCATAGCATCATAGGCCTTAATCTGACCATACATCATAATAAGAAATAACTTTGCAAAATGATGTTAATCTTAAAAGTCCTGATCGCAGGTTGGGGGGGGGGGCCTGATGCATAAAATCACAATGATCTCATTTAAAGATAATCATGAAGCGTATCTGTATTAAATGGCTGCTTCTCCTGGGTCCTAACTTCTCCTGGGTCCTAACTTCTCCTGGGTCCTAACTTGTCCTGGGTCCTAACTTGTCCTGGTTCCTAACTTCTCCTGGGTCCTAACTTCTCCTGGGTCCTAACTTCTCCTGGGTCCTAACTTCTCCTGGGTCCTAACTTCTCCTGGGTCCTAACTTCTCCTGGGTCCTAACTTCTCCTGGGTCCTAACTTCTCCTGGGTCCTAACTTCTGGAAGTTGTATTACTCATTTAAAAAACAAACTCTTAAGACATTTCTAATGAGTTTTTTTTTTGAGGTCCTATCTAAAGACGATTTTGTCGCCCGTGCTCTTGACCACCCTCTTCGCCCCATTCTCATGGCTCTGCCCGATGGCCACTTGGCACCCAGAGCGACACGGTGTACATTACGGGAACCACTGTGTCATACCCGTGGCATATTTAAAAAAAAATTCTTTGACTACTTAATTATCTATGAATTTTTGTTATTTCGGTGCCTTTTTTTTTTAGGGGTCGAAAGCTTCTTGTACATATGCATGGGGGTGCAAGTACGCGTACAACAGGTGGAAGGGTGTCGAAAATGTGACTTTTTTTTTTAGGGGTCGAAAGCTTCTTGTACATATGCATGGGGGTGCAAGTACGCGTACAACAGGTGGAAGGGTGTCGAAAATGTGACTTTTTTTTTAGGGGTCGAAAGCTTCTTGTACATATGCATGGGGGTGCAAGTACGCGTACAACAGGTGGAAGGGTGTCGAAAATGTGACTTTTTTTTTAGTACGTACAAGATGGATGGCCCCTTCAGACTGCGTGACGTTCCTTCATTTAGTTCCAATTTAAAATTCATCAAGTCCCCATTAACTGCCTGTACATGTCTCCAACAATTTATCAAAATCGAAAAGCACTGAAAAAATGCTCACAATGTACTTCCACCAGGTTCGTAATCAAATTCTAACTAAAGTCTTACCTTTGATTTCATGTGCCCAGATATGGACGCCAAGACACACCGATTTGGGAGACATCCGCAGCACATGCAAAAAATGCTTCTCTTAAACCACAAAGAAGAGCAAGCTCTGGAGAGACGGCTGGATGACATCGCCCGATGTAGCAGGGAGAGGGAGACAGAAATTGAGATAGAAAAATCCGACTTGAGGAACCAATTGCGCGACATTCGTAGACAGTTCAGTTACTGTGAGCCACTGTTTGGTGAGCTTATTACAAATTAGCTCTAACAGTCTTACGATTGGTGGATGTTATATAGTGGCGCGACGCTGCCACCATCGTATTTTTTAGGCCTCGTGTTACTGTAGTGAAATAATGTTAGATAAATATCTCAACTAAAAAAATATTATTTAAAAAAAAAAAAATAAATAAATAAATAAACAGTCGTGGAATCTACTAATTCAATTTATATCAGTTATTTTAGCTAATCAAATATAGAGCTTGAAATATTAGAAAACAGATTTTTGTTTAAATGAATAGCTGTATATTTGTTTTTCAGAGAAAGTTCCAAGATCAACAGACACCATCAACGGCGTGACTATGTACCTGCTCCAGGAATATGAAGCATGCGCGCGGGTAATTCCTGGCATTTTACATGACTTAGATAAAATTCTACAGGAAAAAACCTGTTCATTTTTAGAAAAGCGCTCAGCACTCAACACCCAAACCGCTAAAAGAGGTCAATCAAAAAATGCCCGTTGGTGTTGGCCCAGGATTGAGAGAAGTAAAACGACAAAAATTCGCCAAGTTCTAAGGTGCACCGAATTCTCAGAAGAACTCGCCACCGTCAAAGCGAACGATAGACCGGATGTCGCCAAGTTGGTCGGACTGACAAAAGAAGTGACTCAACTCAGAAATGAAATGAATGCCAATAAAAGACTAAAACTTATGGGGCCACACAGAACACTTGAAACTCTGATCAGCGAGCTTCGGTTACGAAATTGCAATGTGCAAGGTGAATATGACAGGTTTACAAATGGGACCTGCGTTCTACTTAGGCGGAAGATGGAAAAAATGCAAAGGAAATTGAAAGGGAGGGAAGTTAGCTTTATACCAAGACGCCATGGGGTCAAGGATTCGAATTAATAAAACGAGCAGCAAAGGATGAACCACATGGGACTGAAGTGACACTACGTGATATAAAGACACTACATGATATGAAGACACTACGTGTTATGAAGACACTACGTCGTATGAAGACACTACGTGTTATGAAGACACTACGTGATATGAAGACACTACATGTTATGAAGACACTACGTGTTATGAAGACACTACGTGTTATGAAGACACTACGTGTTATGAAGACACTACGTGATATGAAGACACTACGTGATATGAAGACACTACGTGATATGAAGAAGTTTTCTCCTTGTCTTGTAAAGAGTACGTCCACCATATTATATGTAAACTGTAACAGCAACTTTGTCTAGCAGTCCGTATGCGCGCTTAGTTCTGCTAGAGATGTTGCCGTGAATAAGATTCTCTACAAATGAGATGATGGGACTTAAGGAAAAAAAATCATTAAGTTTAAGGTCAAAACAATCACGTTACGCATGTTATCTATGTTCGTTTTCAAATGAACTTAAATTGAATTTTATGTCATGCAAGGAGTTATACGACATTAGAATATAGACTATTATATGGCATTAGAATACATACCATTATATGACATTAGAATATAGACCATTATATGACATTGGAATATAGACCATTATATGACATTAGAAAAAGAGACCATTATATGACATTAAAATATAGACCATTATATGACATTATAATATAGTCCATTTGGAACATTAGACTAAAAGACATTCATGTTACATGAGACTAATGACTTTTGGCAAGATTAGACCAAACCTTGTGTAGGATATTAGATGAAAGAATATAATTAAGTTACATTACAATAAAGACTATTATGTGATATTTGACTATGCTACACTCAATTGGATTGCACAGAATCACCCCTAGTATTTGAATATGTGAGCTGCATATAGTATGTCACCTTGTACAGCCAACTGTAATGCTCGACATGTACAATATTATGAAATGGATTGGAGTTGAAAGGGTTGGGGGGGGGGCCATGTGGGTTTGATGTGAAGTATGTAGAGATAAGGGGAGAAACCATGGTTACATTGTTGTAGATGACCTTTGATTCAGTCCTGGATTAACCTCAAGGTCATGAGGCACGTACAATTTTCGGCTTACATTTCTAATAAAAGGTTGCTACGTGATGTCACGGTTTTGTTTGAATTTCTTTCGATTGGTAATAAGATGTCATTACTATGATTTCATTACTATGATGCAATACCAAGATGTCATTACTATGATATCAATACTATGATGTCAGTACTATGATGTCAGTACTATGACGTCAATACTATGATGCCATTACTATGATGCCAGTACTATGATGTCAGTACTATGATGTCAGTACTATGATGTCATTACTATGATGTCAGTACTATGATGTCAGTACTATGACGTAAATACTGTGATGCCAGTATTATGATGTCAGTACTATGATGTCAGTACTATGATGCCATTACTATGATGCCATTACTATGATGTCGGTACTATGATGTCAGTACTATGACGTCAGTACTATGATGTCAGTACTATGATGTCATTACTATGATGTCAGTACTGTGATGTCAGTACTATGATGCCAGTACTATGATGACTTAATGTGATGTCAGTACTATACTATGATTCCAATACTATGATGTCAGTACTATGATTCTAGTACTAGGATGTCAGTACTATGATGCCAGTACCATGAGGCGAGTACTATGATGTCAGTACTATGATTCCGGTACTATGATGCCATTACTATAGTGTTAGTACTATGATGTGAGTACTATGATGTCAGTACTATGATGCCATTACTATGATGCCAGTACTATGATGCCAGTACTATGATGTCAGTACTATGATGTCAGTACTATGATGATCATTATTATGATGTCGTTACTATGGTGTCAGTACTATGATGTCAGTACTATTATGTCAGTACTATGATGTCATTACTATGATGCCAGTACTATGATGACTTAACATGATGTCAGTACTATGATTACAGTACTGTTATGTTAGTACTATGATGCCAGTACTATGATGCCAGAACTATGATGCCCGTACTATGATGCCAGAACTATGATGCCAGTACTATGATGCCAGTACTATGATGCCATTACTACGGTGTCAGTACTATGGTGTCAATACTATGATGTCAGTACTATGGTGTCTGCACTGTCACGGCGTATCGGGGCTTATTTGGACTGCATTATTTTAATCTTCATGAATTCATTCATTCAATACAATATCTACTCTCATCGCAGTGCCTGGTGGGATCGAGTTAAAATGGCGCCCAAAAAGTTCACCTCTAACAGTCGATGACCGACGTTTCTATTGCAACCTGCAGTTGCACCTTCTTTTTTGAAGACGTGTATTTGCAATAGATATCAATTGATATAGAGTGGACGTACAAATCACATAATGGTTAAAATAAAGTTACTGGTGAAATTTAACGTGGTTGAAACTCAAAGTCGGATCAGCATAAAACAAGATGTATTTATGTAAGAATTAATTAACAAATGATGGCATCATTTTAAAAAAACTACCAATTAACCTGAGTTTTTTTTTAAAACAAAAAGCTGGTTTTAAAAAAAAAGTATCAAAATCTATTAAGATTTTTCCCGCTAATATATTATCGTCTGATAGCTACCACAAACTGTAAATGGGTTAAGGCAGTGGTTCTCAATCTTTCTAATGCCACGACCCTTTAACGCATTTCCTCATGTTGTGGCGACCCCAACCACAAAATTATTTTCGTTAAAACTTTACAACTGTGCAGTATATGTGTTTTCAGATGGTCATAGGCGACCCCTATGAAAGGGCCATGCGACCCCCAAGGGGTCGCGCGACCCACAGGTTGAGCACCGCTGGGTTAAGGAAAGGGGGGTGCTAAAAACATACGGGGACATGAAAAAATCGTAGTCGCCGTGGTTGGAACTCTCAACCTTTCGGCAAGTTCAATTGTGCGGAGAACAGAAGAAGTTGGAGAGAACTTAGTGCTACAGATACATGATAAAGTTAAGGAACTTGCTGTGGTATTCTCTGGTCCTGGATGAGATTGTGAGATTCGAATATGTGCACACTACTCCTGTTATCATTTTTTTGTTGTTTTTTTTTTTGTTGCTGACGTCGCCTTCTTTGATAAATTTTTTAGTCGAAAAATATGTTGGTTGTTTTTTATTTTTGTACTTTGCACGCCACTCATCCATGATTAACATGGAATACTATAATTAATCTTTCGTCTTTTTTTCCCTGAGCTTTCGTTCTGGCTTGAAAGTACAGCATTGTACAGAATGATTATTATCCGGCCCGCGGTGAAAAAGTTTGGTGACCCCTGGCAAACCCGAACACAACAAACAAGTATGCTTTAGCTCTCCTCGGTAGGAACTAAAAAACAGTTAACATTTATTTATTTTTTAAAAATTAATTAAATGTAACTTTTAGAAGAAACAGGAGAAACAGACATTTAATATTGTTAAACTTTTTAAAAAAAATGTATCTTTAAACCCCAAGCCATTCTGATTGTATGCCTATAACTGTAAGTACGGTTTATTTTTAGTCTAAGTGCAATAAATCTCTTTAATATTTAAATGATAATTTTAATGAAATTATTTTATGCACCCCTCGAGATTTTTTCCCCCCCAAAAAAAGACTTTTGAGTTTGGTCTTTAACCCACCACTGGGACCATGATTTTGGAAATTATCATGTGTTAATAATCGAATTTTTCCTTGATGTGATGCACTCTCGGTATAATCAACATAGGGACACACAGCTGTCTATGCCCTATGCAAATTGTCCATAGATAGTGTGTGTAGTGCGCCCGGGCTAACGCCATTTTAGCCCCCGCGAACTAAAGGCTTGGACATGTATGAAATATGATGAAAATAATATATAACCCTTCAACATTTGACATTTTTTATATGAGATAAAAAGTAGACAGAATTTGCAAGCTGCTTTTTTAGCCACTCGGCCATGATCCTAATATGAATCTTTTATATGACTCTCAAACATTATTCTCTAATCTGACTCTCTAATAACACTCTCTAATATAACTCAGCGCCACCGAATCCGGAAATTTGATTGAAAGAAATTTCGTCGACAGAAATTTCATCGAACGGAAATTTCATCAAACGGAAATTTCATCGACGGAAATTTGGACGAATATTTTTTTCAGTTCACACGGAAATTTGGGCGAATCTTTTTTACAGTTCACACAGAGGCGTAGCGAGGGAGGCAGGGGGGACAGATGTCCCGGGCGCAAGCTAGTTAGTGGCGCCAAAATGTGCTTTGATACCATATTATTGGTAAAATAATGGGTTTGAGAGTTGAAAAAAAAGAAAAGGAGGCGCTTTAAAATGGATCTTGTCCCCGGGCGCGAATCTTGTCCCCGGGCGCCAAAACCCTCGCTACGCCTCTGAGTTCAAACGTTAAAATTTAGCGTCAAATTTCTTTTTGAACGCATTATTTTGTCTTACTATAAAGCGGCCCACACAACTCAAAATGTAAGGCGGGCCGTAATACTTTATGAAAAACTTGTGCGGGCCAAAAGAAAATAGGACAAGACTTATACGGGCAAAAGAATATAGGTCATGGGGAAAGCTATTAAGAAAATAATAAGAATAAAGAATATTTCGTTACTTTGCGGGCCGCAAAGTTGGTGCTGGCGGACCACATGCGGCCCGCGGGCCGTATGTTGTGCAGGCTTGCTAAATAGTATAGTCGGACTGACGAAAGAAGTGACTCAAATCATAAATGAAATGAACACCAATAAAAGACTAAAACTTATTGGGCCACACAGAACACTTGAAACTCTAATACGCTACCTTCGGTTACGAAATTGTAATATAGTATATCAATTTTCCGTCGACGAAATTTATTTCGATCAAATTTCCGGTAAACCAGTGCCACAACCCACTCGACCAACCCAGGAAGCTATTATATAGGGATTCTCACAGTGAATGCTGGCAATGCCATAATATATTTCTTCCCCTTGACTCTCGTCATCGTCACTATCGTTATAATAATATGCCTGTCTCTTTAAAATAATTTCCCGTCGTTCTGCCTCTAATTTCGCACGTCTAATTTCTTCATCTAGTTTATTAGGTTTGTATTGTCTCTGACTATATCTGGGTTCGTACTGTCTCTGTCTATCTCGGGGTTCGTACTGCCTCGGTCTCGCTGTATGTTCTACATATCTCGGTCTATCTCTGGGTTCGTACTGACTCTGTCTATCTCGGGCTTCGTTATACTGTCTCGGTCTGGTTGTATGTTCTACATATCTCTGTCTATATTTAGGTTCGTACTGACTCTGTCTATCTCGGGGTTCGTACTGTCTCGGTCTGGCTGTATGTTGTACATATCTCTGTCTATCTCTAGGTTCGTACTGACTCTGTCTATCTCGGGGTTCGTACTGTCTCGGTCTGGCTGTATGTTGTACATATCTCTGTCTATCTCTAGGTTCGTACTGCCTCTGTCTATCTCGAGGTTCGTTATGCAGCGGTGCTCACTACACTCAACGTAGTTCCCCCAAAGAACCCACCTGTCTACAGGACCGTGCGTGACATAAACGCTATAGACAGAGCAGCCTTCAAAGCCGGCATTAAGACAATGCTTCAAGGTCTAGGTACTGAGCTCAGCGCTCAGCATCTGGACGATGGCCTCCGAGCACTTTTGGACGAGCACGCCCCTCCCATGGCGCGACGTGTCCCGACTGGTCGCTCGTCGCCATGGTATGCAGGCGTTAGTGACCAACTCCGTCTGGCAAAACTCGTGCGAAGACGCGCTGAAAGACGCTGGGTAAAGACTGGACTGAGTGTCGACAGACAGATCTTTTGGACAGCGAAAGATGCGGTGGCAGAGATTGTACAGAGGGCAAAGGATGACTACTGGAGTTCAAAGGTCGAATCATGTGCATCAACCAAGGCGTTGTTCAGCGCTAGTAACCGTCTCCTTGGCAATAGCAAGAATTTCACCCTCCCTACCGACATTGCACCAGAGCAACTCCCTGACGCCTTTGCGGACTTTTTCATCACCAGGGTGCAAACGATCAGGGAGGAGCTTGACAGCGCGACCCCTACACCTTCCTCACCGT